CCGTCGCCTCAGCCTGTTTTTCCTAGAATAAAATCTGCTGCTCAAAACGACTAAACAGATCGTTACAAAATGTCAATGGATGGTTAAGAGGTTTTAAAGCTCAAATACAGGGGAGCATGGAGAATGAGGTGGGGCTTACTCATTTACTTTATGCAGATGATTCTCTGATTTTGTGTGAGGCTGAGGTGACACAAATCATACACATCATAGCTATTCTCACTCTTTTTGAAGGTGTCCCTGGGCTACATGTTGATTGACAAAAGAGTTTGCTCTCCAGTAAACCATATAAGCAACAGATAACTGGTAGCTAGCAATCTTGGTTGCCAAATAACTTCTTTACCCACATAGTATTTGGGCAAGACTATCTCGACCTTAGCGTTTCTATTTAGATTCCCGTTCGTGATCCCAGCCCCGGAATCACTTCACTCCAGCGCCTCCTCAGTCTTCTTGCGCATGCCTTTGGGAGCACAAAACAAGGACATAGGACTGTGGAATGATGTTCTAAAGAGATGTGACAGGAAACTTGGAAGGTGGAACATTCCTTACCTCTCTTTGGGAGGGATTGACCCTCGTCAAGTAAATCCTCTCCCGTCATACAGGATGAGGCTTTTCCCTAGTCCAAAGATTATTGAGAAAAAGATCAACAAACTTACAAGATCTTTCCTTTGGAACAGAAAAAGAGAAAATAGACGTTATAACAAGCTAGTCAAGTGGGATATTGTAACAATTAGTAGGAAGCACGGGGGATTGGACATAAAAAAGCTAAGCCTCCTTCCTTCTGCAGAAATGGTAGTGGAGATTCTGCACTGAAGAGAGTAATCATTGAAAAATATGGACTACAAAGTCATTGGTCTACTGAGGAGGTTCCGGGAATTCTAGTGTGTAGTGTTTGGAAGACGATTAGAAGACTATGGCCAGGGTTCAAGGATAACATTTCACTTAAGGTGGGAAATGGCTGGAAAATTGACTTCTGAAATGATTTATGGATTGGAGAAGAATTCCTTGCAACTCTATTTCTAGATTTACTTATACTCCAGCCAATAGAAAAAGGACACAATTTCTCAGATGTGGAGCCCTCAGGGATGAAATTTCTTGTTTAGAAGAACCCTCAATGATTGGGGATGGAGAGAATCATTGCTCTATTTCATATCCTAAATACCTTCCCAGGCACCTCGAATGAGCTTGGCAAGCCTATATGGAAATTACAGAGGAAAGGAGTGTTCACAGTGAAGTCTTGCTACTGGAGTATCAATGATGCTCAAAGAAGAAATACAACTTGGCCTTGGAAACTAATTTAAGATACAATTACCTCTAAAGGTCTCATGTTTTGCTTGGTTGGTGTGTAGAAGGGCATGTCTAACACATGAAGTGCTTCAGAAAAAAAGGAAGACAAATTTGTTTAAGATGTTTTATGTCTGATCAAGATGCTGAAGTCAATGCACATTTTTTCCTCCACTGCAAGGTGGCAGCTACCGACCTATGGAACATGTGTTTTTTTTACAACCTTGGTGTATGCTGGGCAACTCCAAAAACCACTAAGGATATGCTAGACAGCTGGAATGAGATAGGAAGAAGACATTTACTGAAGACTGGTGGAAGTTGATACCAGCTTGCATTTGGTTGACTCTACAGAAAGAAAGGATTTCTAGATGTTTTGGGACAAGTGTAACAACATCGATAAGATAAGGATGAATAGCCTTAGTCTTTTATACTTTTGGTGTAAACAGGATATGATGAGGGATATAAAACTTCTTTTGTTGATTTCATGAGCAATTTGTAATCTCCCTACGGGTAGGTTTTGTTATGCTCTAATGAGATTGTAAGTAAGTTATGACTTTGGTAAATACACAATTACCCTTATCTCAAAAAAATTGTTTGTTACAGATTTCCTATTTATTGGTTAAGATTGATAATTTGTTGCTACAAATGACTCATTTGTTCCAACATATATGTAAGTCACCTTGAAAGATTATCTTACAAACTCATATTTTTTATTATAGGTTGTGCATCTATGTCTTGTCCCAACAGAAAAAGAGTTGCAAATATCATTCCTTGTTGCTCAAGCATTTGATGAGACACTATTTGATCCTATGGTGGTTAGAGTTAAATGGGAATTGTTGGAGCAAGAACCATCAAAAGAGAAAAAGTTGATGCTGGTCAACTTGTTGTTTTTGATGAGGATATGATTAATGCAGCTGTAAGGGCTAGTGTTTGTGCTGAAAAAAGTGGTAAGAAGAAAAATCATTGGTGTTTGTGGTTCTGAAAGAATGTTGACACCATTTTGTGGGGCTGAAAGAAGTGTTGGGGCTACCACTTGTAATAAATGTTCTGACTTTTAATGTTGTAAGTGCTAGACAAAAGATGATGATGTTGTCAGGTGTCTTCAAACATTGACCGAGGCTGTGAAAGAATTGACATCCAAGAGGACGGGATCCATGTACTCCACATGCTAAGAGGAGAAGAAAATTGTTTGTCAAGGCAATATCAAATATGGAAAAAAATTTATTGGATAATTGTCAATGACCGTAAGAGAGAAGTTGGTGCTTAAGAAGGTGAATATTTACAAGTTCGTGCCTTCAGCTATAAAAGGCTACTTTGTTGGCACTGATGGAAACAAATGATCACGAGTTCTACTCCATGCATTATCTTGATGAAAATAGTTTTAAGAACATGACTAGTATGAATGTTTGGTGGGAGGACTTGGTAAGTTTTCTCCAATAACCTTCAATTTATAATGTTTGTTTTATCTGTTCAATAATTACTAACTAATATTAATTGGTATTTCAGTAAGTTCTTAGCCTCACGTGGGAGGGGCATATCAGAATCACTGAGCACTATGATTTCAGGATAGGATCATGGATCTCAACGATCTATCGTTAGCTTCATAAACAAATTTAAGATTATGAGCGAGGAAACAACAACAGATGGTGGCAGAACCTTTAAGCAGTTACTCGCTGAGTTTGTACGGCAAGAGGATGTCGTTGAAGGGAAGAGACCAGGTCCTGGTGGCATGGATTGGATAGGGGCAAAGAGGATTCTTGCAGTCATGAACTCAGGGAAAAAACATTTTGTGACTCTTGATATCCTCTGGAACAAGGGAGTCATTAATGTTTATGACTGCAACATTGGTTAGCTATTAATAACTTTAAACTGGTGTAATAATATAGTTAAAACAGGTGATGATTTGGTTTATATAATTTAGCAGAAAAAAATATGTATTCTATCATTGAAACTGCTACACTGCCTCTCTTATGTCCAGAATTAATTATATAGCTAGATATAGATTTTCAATGGTGTGTAGTAGCCCCAATTTGTTGGTTTGGGCTGCACAAATGATTTCCTGGAATTGTTTAGTAATTTGTCAAGTGTTTCTATTGCTGAATGAATTTCAATGCTGTTTTGTTTCTTCTCGTTTAAGTATCCATTTTGTTTTAAGTTAAAAGGATGAATTAGAAGTGATTTATTAGAAGTTTTGATGAAGAGATACTACACATGTGGGTTTTCATTCAATAGTTGGAAACGAAGGCAGAAGCTGTTTGTGAACTGTGAAATTTCTTTTTACTTCCATCGATCACTTTAGCTCATGCATTTTTCCGATACTGCAGCATTACAGAAAAGAGGTTAGGCAATAAAAGGGCTGCTAAATTGCTTGAGCCTGATAACTTAGTACCATACAGAGAAAAGCTGAAATCTGAAAATCATATTAAGAAATCGAGAAGATCTGAATGTGCTAATTGTATGCATTACATCACGACAGATTTTTGTAAGGTATTCATATCCTTTTTTTTAAATTATTTTTTGGTTTCCATTTCTTAGTTACTCTGGTCACAAAAATTGATCTTCCATTCATTCCTCGGTAATTAATTGAAAACAAACATAATTTGATGCTGCATCATGCTGTTTGTTTAGGTGATGGTGGAGGAGAAAGGTCTTTTAACTTTGGTGAGGGTGGTTCTGGCGAGTCACGCTGGTTGTTGCATGGTGCTAGACTGCTGGTCGGAGAGATGCAGTAAGAAAATACTATAATACTAAAAGTTTTTTGGCTACTCCATATTTTGCAGGAGGAGGAATTAAAGAGTCCCCCTTCAGCTGCACAGGAAAACAAAGGAAATGATTGATACTTCAATTTTACTTTCTTCTTGATCCAAAGAATGTTCTTTGTGAAAAATAAAAATTAGTGATAAACAATGCAATTTCAAAATGTAACGGACATGTCATCCAACTTTGACCATGATTTGTCTATGCATTCCAACTAATACTTGGTGTTGGTTTCAATCATGTCATCATTGGCAACTGCTAGGTTGGTTCAATTCAGTTCAAAAAAGTAATGATTACTGCCAATTGGCTGTCTTTTTCTCAGAATTGGAATCAAAACCTTTCTCTGTTGTGCACAGGTATGTTACATACCAACCAATCAGTCCAGATGCATTGAATGCAACCTCTTCGCCACAAAACACCAACTCTTACTAATACGTTGCATCATAAGATTGATTAATTTGGACAAAATTGCAAGCACAAGATATCATAGAATTGAGTAACTCCATCACCATATCACATTTTACTTTACTCAGATATTGACATCATAAGTGTGGAGTTTTATCATTAATATATCTCCTGAAGTTGCATAAGAATTAACCCTTTCGCCTCAAATGATACAATCACATGCCAATTAGACTCACAATGGTTGGTTATAGTTAACTATATAAAACATAGTAAAATTTATGAAAAGGATACTGTACCACTTCACATAACACTGTAAACAATAAGTGAAAACTTAGCACAAATGTAGCAAAACGTACATTTCATTGCTCAATAAAACCATAAAAGGTACATGACACAGCATAAGATATCCATAACTAAAATATTTACAGAAAAAGGACTATCAAATGTGTGTCGCTATAAAGTTGAAGGCACTTAGCTAACTGTTAAATGAAACGGAAGCACTTCGTGCATTCTTAGAAGTATATGCCCCAAATTAAAACATAAGCATATGCCGCCCATCAACATGCATAACATGGGCTGATTTAAAGCGCATAGTTAGCCCGCAACTGACATTTCATCTCCAGAAGCAAGACTGGCTTGATCAAACAACTCAGGGTGAGCTACCTCAACAAAATTCTCTTTTCTGCTCTTTTTCAGTATGAGTTAATCCAGCTTTATTAGTTTTCCCTGAAAATGATAATAATATTGTGTATAATATAGATGCTTATATACTGACAAGTGACAACTCTGAATATACGCTTCATATTAGTTCTGATGCAAAACACGTAAAGAAATTGGAGAAAGCCAAAAGAAGCAGCTGCTTTATACCTTTCTCGGCCAAAAGGTTAAGATAAAGTGAAGAAGTAGCTGTTTTATGTAAACGAAAAACCAGCCAATCAAAACTTAGCTAACACTAGCACATTTGCTGGTTGAAAAATGGTATAGACACAAACTTTGTTCCACCTTGCAACCAATGTACAATATCAAATAAAAATCATGATGAACTAGAAGGTTGCAACATAGAATAATGATTAGACATTTCCAGTCATTCTTTTAGTAATTAATCAATACAAGAGTCTTTTAACAAGAAAAAATATATAAATTTGACATGCTAGCTCCTCAGCATATTTACGTGATTTCAAGAGGATGTAAAAACGGGTGCGATTATGTATACAAATGCACCCCAATAAAAAGAAAGAAAGATACAAACAAGCTTAAAATGCAAGTTCTGCTCCCTAAGTTCCGCACCTAGAAATTAGGTTATGTGCTGACACCGGTGCCTTCTTGCTTAAGGATCTAAAATTAAAGGAAGTGAAGACAAGGGGACACATTTTTTGGATGAATGACCAGCTTACTGATAAACAACCCACGTTAACAATGTCTTCAGAATTGACCAAGAAAAACACATCTCAGATCTTTTAAAAATTCCTGAGGCCAACGATGTACGGTTAGATACTCTGTGATTATCACGGGTCTTGCTCCTCTTCACCTAACTCAACTCAGATTTATACCAGTGTATTTTCAAAAGAAGTCAAGAAACTCCCTATGAATAGATCTTCACACACTTAGATCAGTTGATTAAATTAAATGCTAGATGAGATTAACTAAAACCACTGAACCAAACAGTATCTATCAATGTATATGTGTGTGCAAAGAGAATAAACTCGATAAGCTCATAGTCATAATGACACATAAAATTGTAATCAGGACAAACTTCTTCAATCTTCTACCATTATTTCTACAAATTTGACCCAAAACCATATATATATAGGACAAGAAATTACCTTTGTCGTCAATCCAAGGAGCTCCCTTGACAACTTCAATTTGATTCAGAACGAGTTCATCTCCAAACAATAAGTCCTCCTCTTAACCAACATCCTTGCAGCCGTCCCATAGGGCTCCTCAAATGCTGCTGCCACCCAATTCCCATCTGGCCCAACCTCTCTCTTAGGTTGCTCACTAGGCCTAATTGCTACCAATGTCGCCCCTTTAAGCACTGTCCCATCAGGTAACTCTAAATGTGGGGCGTACCACAACCTCATGTTCAGTGCTGGCACCATGGTCCTTTTCGAGGCCGATGAAGCTGAAAGAGGCTTTACTCTCAACTCCTCCAGCTGCTCCCTGTTCATACACAATACTCCTTGCCCATCAACATCCGTCAAAACCAAACTCGCAAGCTTCTTATGCTCTGCTATAATCGGCTGCAGCAGATAATGCCTTGCAGAAGCTGCTATCAAAGAACTAATCGTCCACACAACACGCAATTTCAAACCCCCATTAGTGTAAAACGACTCAGGTATGCTCCCATTATCTGTTTCTCCATTACCATCACCCAAACTGTTACTTCCATTTCCACACTGTTCCTCGACTAAATCGTCAATACTTACCGGTTGAATCACCGAAGACGCCCCAAGAATAACACAATTATCAAGAGTAGAACCAAAATCAGCTCTCCACTTGAGCAAAGCACCTTCATCAATACCCAATTCCCCACTAGGCAACTCAATCCTAAGCAACTTAATTTCATCAAAATTCTTCAGAACCTGCGTAGGGGAATGATGGGTAACAGAATATTTCTCAAAATCATCATCAACAAGAGAGGATGAAGCAGTACATCGCCTTGAAGAAATGGAGATCAACTGAGTAAGGGATTGAAAGGGTTTAACAAGACCAAGGAATACAAGTCGAAAAAGGGAAGAAATGGGGTGACGTGACTTATCAGAAGAGGCAGCAGCAGAAGATGAAGAAGATGATGATGATGCATCATCATCATCAGAGATAACACAATCGACACGAACAACAACGTTGTCAACTTGAGGAACAAGTGAATGAAACCTTCTACAAACGCCACAACACCTTCCTAGAGTTTTAACATCACCGATCTTGTTGAAAATCAAGAGAAGAACTGGATCAGGTAGCTGGTTGAAGTGGTCAACAGGTTCTGGGTAGATCGTTGACCTCAGATCTGACTTGGATGAACCCATATTCAAGAAATTTCTGATGAACCAAGACTCTTTGTGAGAAGAATTAGGGAAGAAGGAAGAAGAAGAAACAGAGTTGTTTGTTTGTTACAGAGAGAGAGAAATGAGAGATGGGTAGAGAAGAAACAAGGATACCATGGGAGTTGGGGGATAAAGTCTCTATATGTGCTGCTTTTTTTTTCCTTAATAATATCATTTCCAAATAAAAAACATAAAACTATAAATACAAGGATAATAATACAGAAATTAACTAATAATAAATTATTTATAATTTTTTTATGAGATATTATGATGTTGAACATGTCACATGGAGAAATGATAAAGTATAACATTTGAAATTTTACGCAAATACCAATATTTTTTGTTTTTGAAAATACTATTCTCTAAAGGGACTAAATTTTGAGTTGCCACCTATTAAGAAAAACATTTATAGACATAATTTATATCATACTCTTTTTCTACATATACACGGTTGAGTTTGCACACTTTTTAAAAAATTATAAATAAAAAGATAATTTTATTATATCACCATTTGAATATAATAAATTAATTTCTGTATAATATAATAAAGAAATGACTATGATTAATAATAAGAGTAAATTAGGAACTAAGTGTAAAATTATACATCAATTTTATAAAATGAACAATTATTATCGGACATTTCAAAATAGTATAATGAAAAACTATTGTTGAATAGAGGAAATATTTTTCATTATTGTTTTTTTATGAAATCATAAAGACAATCAATCTCCAAGAAAATATAAAACTTAATTACGGAGGTTCACGTAACTCTCATGAGATGAGACTGTCCGGCATGCCGGGTATGGGTCTCGTTATATCTCCTAGTCTTCGAACCTATACTGCCAATATAGGGATCTGGTGAGGTTCGATTCCCATGTACGCTAGCATGTTATTGGGTCACTTTGGCCGGTGATTCCACCTCTTTTTGGTGTGGGGTAGACACTGGATTTCATGATGCTCACTTGAGTTAAATTTACCAATGAAAGAATGAGGCCAGCCTCAAGTGATGCACATAATGAAATGAATGATACCAAAGGTGTTAGGATAGGACAATCAAAAGGTGAGTTAGATTCAAGTAATGACATTAGGTCATTCTTGGTCATTACACAACAAACCTAATGAAAGTCTTAAACTACATCCTAGGTATAGCTGGTGTTTACACTGGCATATGAATGAAATGAAATGGAGTACGTATGAATGAACGAAGCAGACTTTGTGTTTGCTAATGAAGACTCCCTAGTTGAGGTTCCATCTGTTGAGCCCTCATTTCTGGGATGTCTTAATGTTAAGTCCATGATTCCAAGGTCCCATGGCATATGAATAAATGATATTAAAAAGGTTATATGCTACATGCAAAATGTGTTGTATGCTATATGATATGTGCTATGTGTAAATGTTAAGTGCTGTGTTAAAATGTTAAACGTATGATGATGTATTTTATTCTCATGACATAACTTTTCTATTCCAAATCTGGAAAGCTCACTGACTTTCCTATAAAAATTTTGAAAGCTCATTGACTTTCCTAATCCAAATTTGGAAACTTTCATAATCTCAATTTGGCAAGTCCACTGACTTGACTTCCAAAAATCATGTTATTAGGAAAGAGTTATTATTTCTCATGCATGTCCTTGGTGTGTGCTTGCATATACCCTTACTTACTATAAGTGTGTACTAACCCTATACAAACTCTACTAGTTTAGGTGCAGGCATAGATGGACGATAGAGTTACAGGATCAT